GATGTATAGATTAAAAAGTAGCGGTGACAGTTAGGGTTGCCACCGTTCCAGGCTTTACATAAAGTATTTCTCGACTAAAAGGTTCAAAAAAAAAGTACTCAGCATAAAAATAAAGTATTTAATTTTTTGTTTTTAAAAACATATTTTTGTTACATCTAGCAGCCAGTAACAAATTGCTGTCGCTTTTAAATACATTAATAGCCTCTAAACATGCCAAACAAAGATTTAAGTAAACTAAAAGTTCATTTTTAATTAGTTTTAATGAAGGTTTATTCCTGTCGTCCCGCCACTTTGCGTTCATAATAGAGAATACTCTTTCTGTAAATGCTGAAGTGGCCGGAACGGACAGCAAAAGTGACACTACTTTGAACAGATTTGGGAAATCAGGTTGTTCCGTAAATATGGCTTGCCATTTTTCTTGTGCAATATTATTGATGTAAAAGTACTCTGAATTTCGAATAATTGCTTACAAAATTACGATGTTTACTTAAGGCCTTAAATAAAGTATTTTAGCGTACTTTATGTGTCTTGTAAAGTATAACGTACGCACAGTCGAAATAGAGTACAATACTTTATAATAAATTACGGGTGGCAACCCTAGTGACAGTGTGCATCCCCATTTAAGTTCCTAATAATTACTTCTCTACGTTGCAGCTCCAGCTCTATAACTACCAATTGCTCTTTATACAAACCAAGTATCACTCTTCTATCTCTGTAACTCATCCCTACATTTTGAAGTATATTTAACATCTTAACTATTACTATTCAAATATTCTATTACTAATGCAATTCAACCGTTTAATGTTTTGTAAACCATTGTATGTCTAATAATATGCATGCCTAATCGTGTCGATATTTTATCACTTATAATAAATAATTAAAACGGAACTAGCTATTAATTATTGATTATATTCAACTGATATTCGTAAAATGCCAAGATCATATTCACGAAAGCACGATGCAAAATATATGAACTGTATAATGTCAAGGCCACAAATTTTCTTCTGTACATATTTCACTGACGGTTAAATTAATTGGAATATGCTAACGAATTTAAAATCGTGCTAGGAGTAAGTCCTAAAACTAAAAATTGAAAATTTTATTAGTCCAGGAAAGTCTAAGGAAAAAACAAAAACCAGCAATAATAATTTAAAAAGTATGTGTTTATATATATTGCAATTAAGATTGTATTAAAATACCTAATTATTACTTTAAAACAATTTCCACCGCTACACATTTCCTGATTCTCGCACACACTTATCTAATGCATATAAAAAAAATTGTTACTTAACTTTTCTTTTGTCTTTTTCTTATTGCTTGTGCAACGACGTTATTATTTCACCTTTGTCTCAATCTTCCTTGAGAATTTCTTGTTTAATAATTGACATGAAAGAATGGATCTCTTAAACTTTATCACCTATGCAATTCATTGGATGCATGCTATAAATCTACTTATTAAAACGACGATAAATTGCCTCATAATACGTTAAGTTCGAAGAAGTCTAATTAAAAAGAACTTCGCACTTTCTAATAGAGTAACATTGTGTATTCTTTCGCATAAGCGACACATATGCATAAAATATGAACAAATTACACGCCTCGGTAACCAACAGTTCAAATAAACAAATTAATTGTACTACCAACTTGTAGTAACGAACGTAAGAGTGGTTTAGAAACTTGGAAAAAGAAACTAAATGTTGTGTTACTGATATTACAAGTGTAACATATTTTTTTTGTAATGTTAACCTTGAATTACACCTTTTTCTTAATAAATTGCATTAGCTTTCATTATTTTTGGGTGTTGTTTTGTAGCAAACATACCTTTCACTTTTTACAAGAAAAAAAAGTACAAATTCATTTCGGTCATCACTGTTTTCTCAGACAAATTCTTCTTAAAAAGCGTTCCACATTGGGGTCTTTCACCCAGTTATACATAACTGTAGCACATACAAAACCGCACCCAGTATGCATTCATGTATTTCATTTCTGTCATAAGCATGCACAAAATTATTATTAGTGTTATACGAGTCCTGATTCACAATTTTTAATGAAATAGTGTTTTCTTTTATAAATTTACAAAAATAAATACAATTTTAAAATAACGTAGGAACCGTTTGTTAATTTTTAACGTACCAAAATATAATAAAAGTATAAAAATACTTCTGCCGACGGTTTGAAAGTAAAATTGAATTGAATAAGTACTTTATATATTGTGTTTTTTGGGCTTTCGAATACTTCTGATGGAATCAAAACTAATTATAATTTCAGTTTTGGACGCATTTTGCTGACAACACAATACTACAATAGGTTCAGAAATTAGCAACTTTCTATCAAACACGACAATAGTAAAAGTGTGACAAAGATCAGTAGCAGATGCTTCGGAATTCTACAAAAAAATAATCATATCCAAAAATTGCTAATTCATTTGATTAGATAACTACATAACAACAATTTCTCTAGGTAACCTTAGAGTACAACAGCTACTTAGAACATTACAGTACTTTAATTTAGTACGTCAATCGATAATCATGTACATTTGGACAGAAATTAACTACTGTAAGTTTTCGAATAAGAGCGAGATGCATTGGTCTTTCTAGCAAGACCAATTCCTCTGTACCAAAGTACTTTCAGAAGTGCTTTCAGCAGAAAAATAGCGTGTACGCTCGTTAATCAACACGCAACGGAACCTGCGCGCGCACAACTAACAAACATTCAACAGTAAATGCGATATTAAATTCTAAGGTGGTAGGTGGTACTACTACTAGTAATAAATAGATTGGTAGATTAATTATAATAAGATTTAGCGAATCTCATTTAAATAATTTTGTTGTAGTATATTATAGTTTTGTCTCCAATTACAATAAATACGTAAAAGCAGTCGTTAAAGTCAAAGCTTTCTGCATTGTGATGTTAATCGTTAAAAAATCTTCACTCGTGCTAAGCACGAGTTTTGTATTTTGCGTAATACCTACACAGTAAATAAAACGACTGCAAAAATATAAGAAAACTTGCGCGAAAATAAACAAAACAAAAAGATTGCGGCTGATGTAATATTCAAGAATACGGCATTTGACAACGATGATAGGCATACTTGCATTATTAACGGATTAAACGCCTTAAAATTATTGTTAAGATAACATTATATAATATTTGGCAACCAGAGGAATTTTAATATCTTTTTCGCACAATGTGGTTGAGTAAATTCGAGAAAATTCATGAGAAAGCAAAAGCTTAACACGATGTTAAACTTGATAATTTCCTATTTTTCATGTGATTTTTAATATTTAGAGACCATTTTGTTTCAGTATTAATTTTCAACAGTTTCATTAAATCAAATTTTGCAAATGTGTATCCTGAAATTAGCTCCTTACTATTTCTCCAGGAAAAACTGTCTTTTTCAGGTTATAACTCTCTAAACTCCATTCAAATTATATTGTTAATCTTCCTAATGATGACTTTGCGCCATATTCTCTTAAGTATATGAATAAACTATCAACTAAAAAGCAAACACATGCACCCGGTTCACCCTGCAAATCTTTTTGTCTACTTCTTACGTCATGTCACTAAAAAAGTTCCAAAGCCATTATGAGCAAGCTTTCTTTTCAATAATATTTTTATATTCTTGTCAGTGAAAGTTATTAGTGTACACAGTACATATAAACCGTATCACTATTACATATTTATTAGAGTATGTAAAACTGAAAACTATAAGATATTGTGGTGTGCTAATAAATGCGTATAATCCAAAATTCTTAGAAGACGACTCGAAAACTTCACTTATTAGATGAACCCAAAGCTAAAGAAACTATGGATTCCATTTTTTTCTCTCTTATTACAATGTGTAAAAGATCAGAAACAAAACGGGGTTGTAAATATTTTGATATAAAATGATTGATCTTGATTTTACATCAACAAAATTATTTGCAACCCTATTTTGGCTCTGATCTTTCACGCTAAACAAACTATTTTGGCATCGGTGTCTTTTTTTCCAATTAAAACGGTTGACAAAGGCAAATAAGGAAGCATACGGAAGAATGATTTGTTATTGAACTGAAGAAACTATAACAAAAACTATATCTCATACACTTCAAACAGAAAAATATGAATTATACTCGATCTTCGCAACTGGTACAAACACCACTATTAGACTAGAAAAACTCGAATATTTGACAGATGTTCAAAGGTATACATACGATAATTGTGTGGGGGAACAATTAATTTAACCATCAATAGCTTTTTTGAATAATTATGGCTGCAGTTGTCGTATGTCCCGTTTTTTATAGATATCCCTGTACGATTTATTTAAGGAAAAAATTACAGGTAGAAGTATAATTCTTTCATTTTGAAAAATATTTTGTAAAATGGATTTTTTTAACAGTGAAGCTNTTCTCATCTAAAAGTATTAACTTTAATGGTAACTCATTCACGGCTGATGCAATAAGAATTATTTAATGATGTTTATTATGAGCCGGATGACATTTTCTATATACAGTCGTATATATACATATTTTGTGTATGTAGTAATGCAATTATATAAATGAATATGAGAGTGTAGGTGTATATTAACAGATGGAATGTTATTTCCCGTTGCATACCTAGATATGTGGAAATGTTTAATGAAAAGGAAAAAGAAAAAATGCTTTAGTATTTGATTAGTCTTAACGGTCTACATCTGGACGGTTTAGAACGGTATGTGGACTTTATGTAATTACCCAGTTACCTAATCGAAGAACTGTAAATCAAAAAAGAAAGTTTCAAGAGACAGCACTGCTTTCTTTCTTTCTTCGATCAGCTCTAAATTTAGCACATGTTAAATGTGAAACTCGCACACTTCTGAAATTTTATCGCAAACAAAAGACACAATGGTAATTTCTAATGATAATCAGCGAATGAAAGTGCCCTAACGCCTATGCAAATTGGAGAATTTACAAGAAATTTCATTAAAAACACTTAACACTTGTACACATGTACGTTTTGCTAATTTAAAATATTTTTTTCAGCTCAAGCCCAAGAAAATTTCAAATGTCCCGATGACTTTGGATTCTACCCGCACCAAAGGTCTTGTGACAAATACTGGAAGTGTGATAACAACATTGCAGAACTGAAAACTTGCGGAAACGGTCTTGCTTTCGATGCCAGTGACTCCAAATTCTTAACCGAAAACTGCGATTACCTACACAACGTTGACTGCGGCGACAGGACCGAATTAGGCAAGTACATAATTTCTAATTGACATTACGTATTGCACAAGAACATAATTTTAATCATAAACTGTAGTAAATATGATACCAATATTGAACTGAACAAAAACCAAATGTGTTAAATTCCTAATACTTACTCAATGAGAATCCAAAATTTCAAGAATAGTATTCGCACAGTGCTGTGTTATAAAAAGAATAGAATTTTTACTTCTTAAATCACAAAAATAATCTAAAAGACATCTAACAAGTGAAAAAAATTAATAAGGGTTATATCAGGTTATAAAAAAAAGAAACAATTACAGTTAACATAAAAAACTAAGCAAAACTATAAAAATCCGTCATTATTTATGAACGAATATCAATTCAAAGATTACGAATATATACTTGAATCCAAATCCAGGACTCACACTCCCCAATTATAAAATCGTCCAAGTTTCAAAAATAGTAACCGTTTCTGACATTTTAGAGCCCGCAATTTCAACCCCACACTGTGAACGTCTCTACGGCATTTTCCCCGATGAAACAAAATGTGATGTTTTCTGGAACTGTTGGAACGGTGAAGCGTCCAGATATCAATGCTCACCCGGTCTTGCGTACGACAGGGACGCCCGGGTTTGTATGTGGGCTGACCAAGTTCCCGAATGTAAAAACGAAGGTAATTTAATATATAAGTAATTGATTCCCAAAAAAATTGTTAAGTACATAAAGAAGCAAAACGTAATCGTCTTGAACTTTAATCAAATGGAAGTGTTTGTTTATATTAGTACGAGGGTGGATTGATAAGTTTCCGGCCTAACCAAGAGATGACGCCACTAGGCCTACCTTGAGGTGACATTCTATAGTACCATCCTTGGATAGCTTGTAGCTATAGTTTCAGCCCGATCTCCT